TATCCTGGGTATCATTCCCATGGGGCACCACCACCACCATGGGTCACTCCTGCATCTTCCCAGGGCCCTGGATGTCCCTCAAGGAGGGGAGGGCCCTTGTGTCCCCAGTGGGGAGGGCCAGACTGCTCCTCCGGGGTGCACAGGCAGCAGCGTGGTGGAGAGCAGGGCTGGCCACATCCCGCAGAGCGGGGAGGGGGCCAGGGCACTTTAATGGCATTTGTGGATGTTTACAATGTGAGTCATCCAGCTAAGCAGCCGTAAATCAGCACCCCAACTCCCCCAGCATCAATCGTGTCCCCTCCTCTGTCCCCCCAGCACTGGACGAGTGCTTGGCTCCTGTAGAAACAACCTCATAAATAACAGCAACAAAACAAACCCTCCTGCAGCCACAGAGGGCCCGTGTGTGCCAGGCTTGAGATGAACGCCTCCCATCCATCACTTTAATGGTTGTACTCTGGAAATTAAACCTGTCAGAGCCCATCAAGGTGAACGTTCTAAGTCTGTGACATCCCTTCAGCTCCCCTCCTCCTTCCTGGCACTCTTGTTTTTGTTGCTTGCCGTCTCTCCTTTTCTTCTCTGTCCCCGCCATCCCTGTCCCTGCCATCCCTGTACCCTCCATCTCACCCTCACCCTGCTGTGCCCAGCTCCCGCCTGTGGTTCTCTCTGTGCTCCCCCACTGCCAGAGGACCAGGTTGTACCTCGGGTCGTTGATGTCTTTGGCCCTGAGGCTCCTGCAGCCATGGTCTGGCATCTGCCAGTATCTCTGTACCTGGCTCTGTGTGCCTGCTGGGGGGGCACAGGTCCCCTGGGGCAGTGGGTCTCTCCTGCCCCGCTGTCACCACAGGGCAATGGCAGGGAATTGGGTACCATCCTTTCCTACTTCCCCCTCCCCTCCTCCTTTTCTTCCCTGCCTTTTTTCCCCCCTTCCCCACATTTATTCCTCTCCTGCTCTGTGTTATGCCAACTATCACAGGCTCCTGGCACCTGGCCCCTGCCCTGGCTCACATCTCCCCCCTTGGAGCAAGGGCCGCACACTCCCCAAAACCAGAACTCTTCCCCAGCAGTGCCAGGGATCTGGACACCTCCTGCGTGGGCAGCCGGGCCCTGCCGTGCTCTGGGATGGGTTGCCTGGGGACAGAGGACCTGAGCACCGGGGATGCCACACACCCGGGGGGAAGCTGCTGAGCTGCCAGCAGCCACTGCGGGTCACTGTCACCCCACACAGGACTGTCGTTCGTCCGTCCGTCCGTCCCTCCCTCCCTCCCTCTCTCCCCATGCTCCTCTCTCTCCCATCATCTGCTTTCCCTGTCCCAAAATCATCACACCTGTCCCCCTGCCCAGTTCCCCAGCCCTGCGGGGTGTGACAGCCCCGCACCAACCCTTACCTGCCCCATCCCTCGCCGACCGGCTGGCGGACGAGCGACCCGGGGGGGTGGCCCCTCATTTTTGCCACCCCCACAGCGGGTCCCGGGGACAGGCAGCCCTCCCTGCCAGCCCCAGGCAGGGACTAGGAAAGGAGAGGAGGGGACAGCTGGACGTGGGGCAGGAGGGGGACACCACGGGCTGCCTGGGGACGGGGCACCCCAGCCCAGTCTGCCCTGCTCCTGCAGCTCTGCCTGCACTGGGGGGTGAAGCAGGGCTGCCTCGCCGGGCTGAGGGGGGCGTGGAGAGGCTGGCCATTGCGGGGCTGGGCCATCTGCCCGCACCGGCATCTCAGCATCCCCAAGGGGAGGCCCAGAAAGCGTGCAGGAGGCACGGGAGGTCTATAGGGTCTGCCAGGACCCTCCAGCATGATGAGGACAAGGGCAGCCTGCTTGCTTAGGGGGGTCAGGGCTTAACCCTAGTGCTTCTAGGGGGGTGGCAGAGGGTATCTGTTGCCATCCTGATACCAGGGGTTGATTTGAGTCCAGCCAGAGCGAGCAGCGCCCCAAGAGGATCATGGAATGAACCCAGAAAGGGGCTGAGTGGGGTTTAGATATCGCCATGGGAAAATGGGGGCTCATCACAGCATTGAGCTCTCACAAACAGCTTGAGCACCACCCTAAACCCAGGAGAGCTCCATCCCCACTTCACTTCAGGGCAATGCCACAGCAGTGCATCCAGGCTGATTGCAACACGGAGAAGAGCACTGCTGCATTAGTCAGTTAATCAGCTCTGCTTTGCAAGGCAGCTTAATTTTGGCTGGCAAAGCGCAAACCCCACCAGGGATGCCGGATGGAGGCAGGGCAGGCAGGCACGCAGCCTGGGCATACTCCTTCCCAGCCTTTCATGCGCCAAGGGGAAGGGCAGCTGGAGGGATGCACTGCTCCAGGCATCGTCATGTCTGCAGGGAAGGGAGAGTGCACAGTCAAAGGAAGGTCCGGGGTCTCTCTCCTCCAGCTGTGCCAGCAGGCTGCCAGCTGTGCGAGTCTGCTCTCCCCACCCTGCTCCCCAGGGACCCCAGCAGGGCAGCATGGTGGAAGGAGCGGGGCAGAGCCTCCCATCCCCTAAGGAAGAGCACAGGCATCCAGATAACAGCTTTATAGGGGAGGGATGTGGGGACTCCCCCAGATACACACAGAGGAATAATTACGAGTTAAATAGGATCAAAATACACATAAGTTAAAGGAGGGGGGCAGGTGCCCTGCAGCCCCCACCGCTCTGCCCCGGGCACAGTCTGTGTCTGACAGCAAAGAGACCCCCGACACCACAGCCCGGCCCCTCTTCTGGGCCAGCTCTGTCCACCTTTCACAACACAGAGCCGATCTTCCTCTCCGTGGCACCCAGCTCATCCTCCTCCTCTTCTTCTTCCTCCTCGCCCCCCGAGCAGGAGGAGTCCGGGCCATAGCCCAGCTCAGCGGTGCTGCGGTGCAGGAAGCCCGTGCTGGGGCTGTGCCCCATGAACTCTGGGCTTTCAGCAGCTTGCCCCCGGGGCTCGCCGGGCAGCAGTTTCTCGCAGGCTTTGCTGAGCCCTCGTTGCTTCTCGGCCTCCGCCTGAGCCCCCTGCTCCTTGGCTTTGCGGCTCCGCTTCCACTTCATGCGGCGGTTCTGGAACCAGATCTTCACCTGCCAAGGGAGAGCCCCCAGGGGAGAATGTGTCCCCCTGCCTCATCCTGTCCCCACTCACCCCCTCGCCTTCCCTGCATGGAGGGGCCCCCAAAACCTCTTTGTTTCAGGGCATTCCATGGTGCTGCGGGTATGCAAGGAGGCTGAGGATG